GGGTACTTGCTGTTCGTCCTTCTACCATTCCGAAAAAGAGTATTAGATGTGTACGGTTTGCCGAACTTAGCGCAGAAGAATGCGACGGATTGGGAATTGTCAAGTCCTCAGTTTTTTTAGGATTATTTGGAAGGTCTATTTGTGGCACTGGTCAGAAATGTATACAGCTTAACGGACCGAAGCATTTCTTTTCAGTCTTTCAAATGTTTTTTATAGTTCCTCAACCCTTCCCAGCTTACCACAATATAATAATCCCTTTCTATTCTGTCAAGTTTAATTTAAAATTTTATTAGGTAGTGGCCAATCCATGAAATTCTTGGACGAAATTTTGCGAAAAATATTCCAACAATCTATTAAATTTTTGCACTCAACAATTAATTACCAAGAATACTAAGACAGCTCGGATAGGCAGTATGGGAATTCCATGTTAGTGATGTTACTGGAATGCTTTTAATGTCGGGCTCTTTTTGAGCCTTAGCATACAAAACCAAAATAATGCCGAACGGCCGCTATTCGACAAACAATCCAACAAATTAAAGATTGCCTGTCTCTTTTGCTTCATTTTTCATTCATTTTCTTCTACTTATAGCTACTTAAAAAAACACTTAATGCAACACTTGAAAGCTCATGCCCAACGCTGCAGCAAGGGCTCTCAATCGCTTTCAACGATGGTTTCAGAGTGACAAAAAAAAAAATCGAGCTCCATGCGTTCCCAAATTAAAATTTCTATTTATATCAATTTGCTTTGCGGTAAAATTGTGCGCAAACTGCGTTACATGTTTGTACATCGTAATTAGCATTAAAAGAAAATGGAAAAGTTGTTGCCAGCTGATTGAATGAATGAACGAGGGACGAATGAATGCCCGGATGGATGGCTTGATGGATGCGGCACACATGTCATGGCTTAGATGCTGTGCAAACAGAACGACCGAGCGACGGACGACAAAATTTCCAGAGACAGAGCGAGAGAGGGAGACGGGGAAAAAACCGGTAAAACAGGAATTCGGTGGTGCTCGTGCCCGGCGCTCATCGTTGTGCAACTTTTTTAATACTCACTCAGCGCTCGCTGAAAAACAAGTAGAAAATACACTTCCTGATTGTTGTCAATTTAACTTTTATTGCTTCCTTGCCCCATAATTCACTTTGCCTGCGACAGCTGGAAGCACCGGTGGAAGCCGACCAAATGAAACGCACGTGCCAGCAGCAGCAGTCAACTCACTGATAAGACAGAGTACCGATAGCTTGCTCCACACATAAGCAGCGATTGCAATGTGTTTCTAATGTCCTTTATGCACTCGTGCAAATTTTAAACTATTAGAGTTACCTCACTAAATAAGAATTAAAATCAACGAAAACCAAGACAAAACTTTTTCCGCACTTGCTTTTTTTTGTGAAAGACCGGAACACTTGATATATTTATTTATTTTTATCATTTCTTTTTTTTTTTTTTTTTGAAAAGCACCTTTTTTGAAATATTATTTACTTCTATTCATCAATACCATAACCGTCGCACTGATGAATTCCAATTCTCATGCCGAACAGAAATGAATAGATGAGCCGAAACATTCCTGTTCCTGCAGTTTCTCAGTTTCCTAATATAATTTTGTTTAAATATATGTAATATATATATTGCTATCTTTGTTTGAAAGTAACCCAAATGGCAACATGTGCCAGCAGTGGTCGTCCGCTGACAAGGCTATTAATGGCTTCCCGCCCCGAACTTGCTTACTAGCAAACCGAAGACGATTTTGACTCCCCAGAATATGCCAGTACCAATTTGCCATCGAAAAAAATCGTAGAGAGACTGGACTGATTTTTTCAATGTTTCGTTGAATGCGGCCTTGCGAGTAGCACTAGTTATGACTATACGAAGCCAATTATCAACTGTCACAGTGCGCGTGTTTTGTTTCCCTACCTGCCGTGTATTTTCTTTACTGTACACTCACTTGTGGATGTACTTTACCGTGAAAAACTGCATGAAGATTTGTAATCGCTTCCGGCAAGCATCCAACTCTGCAGAGCACCTGGCCTGGAACTGCTTCAAGCTCGTAAACGCTGTTTCCAACATGTACCAGTGCCGGAACAGGCCGTTTAGCAAAAAATGGGATTGAAATGGGTCTTGTGGTTGGATTGTGTGTTCGTTGCTCTAAACTTACGTGATGTGAGAAGTACCCCACGTAAATGTGGTAAAATTAGATGGGGGCTTTTCTTCATGGAGTGCCATTACTGCAGTTCGCAATTTTTAAAAAATTGAAAGCAAAACTCGATTAGTACGAAACAGCTGTCTCCCAAAGGCCCAGTAGTGGACATAGAGTACCAATGAGTGGAAGTGACCACTGAATGGCCGCGAAGGAACTGTCTGCCGAAAAAATAAGAGGAACTTGAAATACAGGACTTCGGGGACCAGAATAAAGGTGTAATTGGCTTGTGAGTGCATCTCAGTAACACTGTAACTCATTTTCGAGAGTCCCAACAATCCTGCTCTTTGTACACAAAAAGCTTTCGCTGGCGTGTTACTCGGTAACAAGTTGCACATCGAGACTTTCTGTTAGCTGGCGCACCAAACACAAACAAAATTTATATGGAAATAATAAAAATGCAGCGTGAAAATCAGTGCTAGAAGGAAAAGCAATGAAGGATGAACAATTAGAAAGCCAAAAATTATGCCAAAAATATCTCTAGTTATTCCAAGAAATTTACACAGCACAACTCTGATCTCGACCTCGTGTACGTACGTCTGTTTGTCTCTTTATGCGAAAAGCACTGCAAGAAATTTGCTTAGCGTCGTCCAGATGACACACACCGAAAGGCGCAGAAATTTACATATATCCCACAGAGTAGCATTTATGCAAATTTGTCTGCGACAAAAGAAATGCGCTTCAGTAGCGTCCACCTTGCGTTGCCTGGTTCATCGCATGTGTAGCCGCTGCTGATGCTGCTGCTCGTGCTGCTCCGGATGCCGCCTGGAACAGCAAATATTGTAGATATAAACAGACGAACCGGAAAAAGTTGCATTTTTAGCCCTGGTGTTTCAGAAATCTAAAGCAACTCTCATATTCACAGGTGTGAAAAATGCAGTTACCACACAAAACAGACTGACAGTAATCACAGGCTATACTTTGATGCTTTGGTCAGCTGCCGTTTCATCCTAGCATACTCACAAACCACTGAATCACTCTGCAATTTTTTAATAACCGCTATGATCAAGGCAGTTACTAAAACACGGCTCGGCTGTTACTCTGCATCTCGGCTAACGCTATTTCGCAATGATCTCGTCGACGTCGCCTGGCAGTTTGCCAGGTGTGCTGGGCAGTGATACCCGGCTGAACGCTATTATATGGACCGACCAAACTGAGCCGTGTTTTAGTAACTACCTCTGATCAAAACCCCATTACCTAGACGATTAACCTGCAGATGATCGTGGTGTTCGTTTCCCGTTTTCTCTCACTATTCTTTTTTTAGATAAATTCACAAAGACCACATTTTCCCCTCCCCATTTTCTTGATTCTTAGCTTACCTGTAAGGAACAGGAGAGGTTTCCCAGCCATATTTCATCACAAGTAACTCTATTAGGCTGAAAAATACTTGCTATCACTGCTTCTCAATTACAAAAAATAAAAAATTCCCTCACCCTCCCCCCGTCTCCATCTTCACCTCTCCACCTCCCAAATGAATGCAAAACTAAAAACCTGCTGAACATTGCGATCGGCCATGACGCCGTCTGAGAATTCTTTACGGGCTTTATCCAAGCTGAAACCGGCTCCACGATAAAAGCGGTGTACTTTGACCAGTGCGAATACCATTCCAATGAATGCTGCCGTGAATGCAGCTGCTGATATGATCATTAGGAGACCGGCGAATATGCTGTGGCTGAAAAATGCGCATTCTTAGAGAGCACTGGAAAATGCGATAACTAAAATTCTTTGCCTCAAACGCAGTTCGAGTAACATCACAAAAATTAACAAATTTCTCAAAAGTCAAAAACTCCTGCTTTATACTTCTCTTTCTTGGGAAGGCATAACCCGACATCATTTTCTCAATAGTAACTTTCCGCTGAGATGTGTGTTGGTGATTTCCTGTTCTACG